CCAAATTAGAGTTCCCAAGAGTTCCCTAGTAGAATTGCATTTTATATAAGTAACTCTTAAATGATATACACAGTTCACACATGACAAGCAGTCTAACTATTTTCACAATCTTTATTCAAATTATTTATTCAGTCATCCCCGCGAGTGATCTGTGTCCAGGGTATATGACGGCATTAAATCCCGTTGCATTGCAAATTTATTGCCATTCGCTGAATGAAAGATAAATAAGCATTTTATCATCTCATTGCGGCTGTCCGTCTGCCTAATGCAATAAATATTTATTGCATTTTCTAAATCGTCAAATTTCTGTTGCTTCAGTTCAATAAAAATGCTGATTAATGCGCTGACAGATTGTTTTGTGAATTTATAATGAGTTTACTGAAATTTGGCAGTTGTTATTGCTATCTCTGTCTTTGCATTTGCATATATCCACGCGGTTTCTCTGTCTCCCTCTCTTCTTCTCTCTTGATTTTCTGGCTAGCTGTTCTTATCCTTCTTTTTAGGAAGGAATTCAGTATTCTACTGCATTCGCTGTCTCTTTCACTCGATCTTATGTCCTTTCCTTTCCTTTCCGTCAGTTGGTCTACTAATATTTTTCTCTTTTTCTTTTTCACACACTTATTTCCTCATAATTTCTTTTGCACTTTGAATCATTATATATTTACTATTTTCGATTTCTTGGTTTCTGTTTCTGTTTATCTTTATTTATCTCACGCTCTCTCTCTCTATCTCATTGTGTAACCCTATCTGTCTTAGCATATTTATATACACATATATCTCCTAAATCGCCGTACCTCTCTCTGTCAGATAAATTCCTTATTTCTTTCTCTTCTTTATATCTCTCTATCTCTATCTTTATCTCTAGATAGATCTATCTCTATCTATTACTATTATTATTTTATCTACACAATCATTTCAAACTTTCCACTAAATGTGCAATGCCAACACTTTCTCACGTCTGAAATACTTTGCCGTAGCCCATATAACTAACTGCCAACAAAGTGCTGGAAAAGTTGTAAAGTTCTAACTATTTTCAACAGCTATGCAGAAGTTGAATGTAATTGTACGAATCGAAAGTCATTTGATGTCATAATCAACCAAGTTCCAAGACGCCAGAGCCAATGGTCAATCAAAAGTCAGCTTATGCCCCATGCCGAGCTCTATTCTAAATCCCTGAAATAATCTTGCACAAACTGTCCAGCAGCAGAGAGAGAGAGAGAGAGAGAGAGAGAGGGAGAGACAGAGAGGAAGGGAAGATGTGTTAGTTTGTGTTGTGGGAGGTGTTCAAGTGTTTTACAATAACGGAGCATCTGCAGCAGCAGCAGCAACAACAACAACAACAACAGCGCACAAAGTTTCTTCACACTTTTCCACAGATTATCTCTATATGTACTTTTCTTATTTCTTTGCTTTTCTTTTTTTTTTTGTTTTTGATCGCCTGTGCTCTTTTGTTGGTCTTTCTCGTTGTTGCTGTTATTGTTTCTGTTTTCTGCTCTCATGCTCTGTTTGCAATATTTAAGTGGCGCATATTTGTTAAGGTCAGGTTGACAGAGTTTAAAGCATTCATATTCATCTATGTCCATTTGGCTTGAAATTTTGAAATTTTGATTGATTGCTATTTATATTCTTGGGAACATTTAATATGGAATAGTATGGCATAGATATCTGCTATTTTTGTTTTATTTCAAAGTAAGGCTAATATCATTCAACATATAATCGACTCACTTTGCTTTGCTTTAGTTTGGTTATTAATTGAAAATGTTTTATTTATGATATTTTAATTACAAATATTTATAACACTTTCAGTCTAATGATCTTTAGCTTCTACAATTTTATTTTGTGACTGATAGTTCAGAACTGTTACGAAATAAAAACCAAAATCATAATGCAAAAAGTCTTATATAAAAAAATTAAATATATATAATTTTCGGTTTTTATATAATTAAAAAAAAATCACATTTTATAAGAAAAAAGCAACTATTAAGACAAACATCAACTGTTATTGCAATTAAAGCAAATTAGATTTCACAACTCGATTATCCAATCAATTATCAATTCCATTAACGATCTGTGGACGAAAACAGAGTATGGCGCAGTCGGCTCTAATTAGTTGTCTCCGTCTGTTTCACGCCTCACGTTTTTCTTCTTCCGCTGCGTGCACTTCTCAGCGGGAGGCCATGGGCCCTGCTGCACATACATACATACATACACGTATGCTTATGCTACCGATACGCACATACATACATACATATATATATATATGCATATATGCATATGTATACGTGTATGCAAATGTATATGTATTCTTTTTATATGCAAACATCTTGGCTGGGAAATTTCGCATATTAATAGCGTTTTCCTTATTTTTTGCTCGCCTTATTTTTGCACATTAATGCAATTGGGGAAATGGGCAGAGAATTGGGGAGCAACCGGAATTTGTTTTAATATTCTTTTAAGTACCCGCCATAAGTGGTGGCAGGCGATTCGGGCAGCTGTTGCTGTCAAACAATAAATACAACAAGAAATCAAGCATACGCCGTGTTCGACTTACCGTGGGCAAACAGCCCCAGCCGCAGTAGGCAGTGCAGCCAATGTTGTTGCGAGCCGACAAGGGATTTGTAACGGTATTTGGGCCCGCTGCTGATACTGATCGATGCCATTGATAAGGATTTACATGTTGTGTTGCTGACGCGCAAAGTTGCAAGTGAAGGCACACACGCGCATATACACACACACACACGCACACACACAGTCTGACAGCCACGTAAACAAAATTGACAACAAAAATAATAGTGTTTCACTCAATTAATACAATTATCGCAGTCGCATGAATTTTTCAAAGGCGCTCTGCAATTAGCAACAAAAGCACGAACGAATTGAAATGCGCGCCAAAATAACTGTTTACTTGGCCAATGGGTGTGCCTGCACTGCCATCTGGTTCATCGCGTGCGCCGCTGTTGAGCACTAGCATGCAACTGGCAGCAATGGGACGCCCAATTGGCTTGGCGCGCTAACTCCAAGCCCACACACACACACACACACACGCACACACGACTACAGACAACAAGACGTACGCAATTGGCGCACAGTGCAAAAGTTCACAGAAAATGACCAAACATATGGCAGCACTGGCGATGTTAAGCACGTTTATGCGCCTATGTTAATCACGATGTGTGTATAAAACAAACATATTTGTGTTCAATCAATAACTGTATAAATATTATGAATATAAGGGAAACCAAAACTAAGCTTGCAAATTGATTTTGAACTGTTTTTCAGAACTGCTTTGTTATTGTTCTCTATGCTTGAGGTATGCAATAGCTGTGCAGCAGCTTTTAGGCGTATGAAATATCGTAAGCTGTTAACCCAAATAACTATATCGTGTAAACATGCCACCTGCAAATAGCAAGCAGTGTACAGTATACAGTGTAAAGGTGGCAACGCCATTTAACATTAACATTGCCAAACAGTTGCGTTACTGTTGCTCCACAGTTGAGCACATATATTTTGTTTACCATTCATCCACTAGCCCACTGTTAAAAGACACTCAGTCGTGCGACTAACCTTGCGGTCTGCTTGCTGCATTCACTTTGCATTTTGCAGTGGCCATGCATACTTTGCTGACCAACAACAATTGTCTGACTTGCCTGCTCCGCCTTGACTCGAGCCAGGATGAGCAGCCGGCAGCTCAAGCCATTGATGCAGATTTGCGGCATTCGCTGTTGCAGCATCTCGACTGGCAGGCAGATGAATTCAACATTGAATTCCTGCCCAAGCAGCTGTGCCGAAGTTGTCACCAGCAGCTACTGAGCTTTCGAGTGTTTCAGCAGCGGGCGAATGCTTGCCGGCAAGATCTCCTGTCCATGGTAAAGCGATTGAAGAAAGAGCTCGTCGAGGAACAACAAAATGCGGCATTTGAAGTTGTGTACGAGGAACCTCTAGCTGAAGACCAGGAAAAGCAGGAGCGGGAGCCAAAGCAGCTGCTCGAGAGAACCATCCAGGAGGAGAACCAATCGGACCCTATAGATGAACTGACTAAAGAAGAGCCGGAGACGGCGAAAGAGGAGATGAAACCCAATCAAAACGAGCCGGAGATGCCCAGCACCAAACGGCGCAGCAAAGGCTTAAAGAACAGTTTCAAGTGCGGCCAATGCGGTCACAGTTTTGCCCACAATCTCACCTTGGACGCGCATATTCGCAAGGTGCACGAGGGCAGCAAACGACCCTTTCAGTGCGATCGCTGCGACAAGGCGTACAGCTTCATGGGCGGCCTCTACACACACATCAAGGAGATTCACAGTCCAAAGGAGCGCTCCTATCGTTGTGACCATCCCGGCTGCGACCGTGTCTACATCAGCTGCATAGCCATGCAGAAGCACAAGCGACTGAAGCATTCCGAATCCTCTGCGGCTCCAGTCCGAAAGTATGTCTGCGAGCAATGCGGCGCAACGTTCAATCAGACAGCGAATCTCAAATACCATCGGCGCACCAAGCATCCCACCGAGGATGAGGCGGCAGCCAATGCGCTAGCCAGCGAACAGCACTATTGTGATCTCTGCCAGAAACATTTCCACTCCCGCTACACACTAAAATATCATACGATGCAACAGCACGGAGGAGGCAATTCAGACGCCGCCCAGGATCAGCCAACGCCCATGCACGAATGTCAGGTGTGCGGCCGGCGCATGGCTAAGCGCTTCATGCTCGTGCAGCACATGCTGATGCACAGCGCGGAGAAGCTGCCATGCGAGCATTGCGGCCGTCTCTTTGCCCGCAAATTCGAGCTAGAAGCCCACATTCGGGCAGTGCATCTGAAGCTGAGACCCTTCGGCTGCAGATACTGCGACGAATCGTTTGCATCAAGAAAGACGCAACGCCATCACGAGTACATTCACACCGGGGAGAAGCCCTATGTGTGCTCGACCTGTGGCCAGGCATTCAGGCAGCAGACGTGCCTCAAGAATCATGGCAGAGTGCATGAGAAGTCCAAGAAGTGATTGATTCACATAAGTTCTCTCTTTAGTTGTATAGTGCAGATAGAACAAGAAATATATTATACTTAAAGCTAACTATTAACAATGCCGTGCTCCTTCTGTAGTTGTTGTTTCTCCTTCTCTATGTACACGGGCAAATCGTCCAAGGGCTTAAAGTACATATGCACCGCCTGGGAGCCGGCCATCATGGCCAGCATTGCGCTGCCCAAGAACTTCATGTATTGGCCCCACGAGACTCCGGCGGGCATGATTAAATCGGTTCCTGTAGTTGATGTTGCTGCTGCTGCTGCTGTTGTAGTTGATCCTCCACGTAGTTTTTCGCCTGTCTGCGCTTGAACGTGCGATCTACAATAGGCAGAAAGTTTAATTTTATGAAGTCTTCACACTTAATTGTCGTCTGGAACTCACAGAAATTTGTCTCGCCTACGGTCCAGTTGATCATGGAGAACTCCAGAGCCGCGCCCAGAACAAAGAATATCGGCAGAAACCGATAGATGCCAAAGCGCCGCTTACCAGGCCAACTGTCAAGCAGACGTCGCACAGATCTGCTATATAGAGTCATCCGGTTTTTGAATTATATAAGCTGGCCGGTCCAATTATTTGACCAGGCGAATAGCCTCGTTTAACTGTTTAACTTGATGTTAATCAACGTTATTTATATAGAATGTTCTGCATGCAGCTTACCAACTGATACTATCAATTTAGTATAAATTTTTATACAAAATAAAGTAAAGCAAACTAAATACAGCTACCGATAGAGTTTCTATTTTAAACAGCTGTTTCAGATATTTATCAGCTGTTACGTGAAGCCAGCTCCTTTTTGCGTTAAGTTGCTCTTTCGAGCGTTCATGAAGGGTATGCTGCTTATGGATATCAAGTGGGAAAGAAAGCTGTTAAGAATATAGGATCACATATCACAATTGTTTTAGTTTAAGGTCATACAATAATAATTAAAATAATATAAACTGCAAATCATTTTATTTTTTTATATATATATAAGCACATAGCTTATTCGAATTGCGACGTTATTTGGAGTTGCTTACGTACGCTGTTAGAGCGTAACATGTTCTGTTAGCCTTACGTTGTAATCTACGTTTGTTTAGTATTTCTACATTTACTCAACACGTAAACAATTTTTTGAGTTTTTTTTTGTTTGCAAAAAGCCAAGCGTTTGCTTAAACATATGCCGACATAGTTAACCAAGAGCAACAATAACAAAATATGATACACAGCCTGTTCATAGTTAATAACAGCGGGTAAGCTAGAAAACAGATGTTGACAATGTTGAGAAAAGGAAAAATATGATAACTTTGATTTCACCCACAGCGAAGTCTTTTTGGAGAAGCATTGGCGTTCCGTTGTCTCTCGCTCCGTTTGCGAATACTTTCTCGATGCCCAGCGTGCCGCTCCCTACGTTAGTGATGCTTTGATTTCCCATGCCATTCCATGTAAATGATTTCAATTTCTTGCTCCTGCAGGATGTGCCGCCCGTTATTGCCACGCCGCACTATTATCTGATCACTGTGCAGCGGGATAGCGTCTCCTTGGTCGCTGCCTGCAAGCAGGAGGTGCCACCTTTGTTTGTCATCGAATTTCTGCATCGTGTGGTGGACACCTTCCAGGACTATTTCAGCGATTGCTCCGAGTCTGTGATCAAGGATAACTATGTGGTTGTCTACGAGCTGCTCGACGAGATGCTTGACAATGGCTTCCCCCTGGCCACCGAGAGCAACATACTCAAGGAGCTGATCAAGCCACCCAACATATTAAGAACCATTGCAAATACAGTCACCGGCAAGAGCAAGTATGTCCACCTGTCCCAACTAATCCTTGAAAAGTGCTCTCTAATGGATTATTTTTGTGGTTGCAGTGTCAGCACTATTTTGCCATCCGGTCAGCTGTCGGCCATACCCTGGCGCCGCAGCGGCGTGCGGTATACAAACAACGAGGCCTACTTTGATGTCATCGAGGAGGTGGATGCAATCATTGACAAATCCGGCTCAACGGTCTTCTCCGAGATACAGGGACACGTGTGTAGACAAGGACAACATATATAATTGTGAAACTCTATAATTCTTTCCCCTTGCAGATTGACTGTTGCATCAAGCTGTCGGGCATGCCCGACTTAACGCTCTCCTTTATGAATCCGCGTCTCTTTGACGATGTCTCATTTCATCCTTGCGTACGCTTCAAGCGCTGGGAGGCCGAGCGTTTGCTCTCCTTCATACCGCCCGATGGCAATTTCCGTCTAATGTCCTATCACATTAGCTCGCAATCGGTTGTGGCTATACCCATCTATATACGGCACAATTTCTCAATTAAGACGGGCGAGCAGGGGCGCTTGGATCTCACAATTGGGCCACGCAACACACTGGGACGCACCGTGGACAAGGTGAAGCTGGAGCTAACGATGCCCAGATGTGTGCTGAACTGCCTGCTAACACCCAATCAGGGCAAATACACATTCGATTCGGTGAGCAAAACGCTAGCCTGGGATGTCGGCCGCATCGATGTGTCGAAGCTGCCCAACATACGAGGATCGGTAAGGACCATGAAGGAAAAACTGTACATCAAAATATATACTTACATATATAATTATTCTGTTTTAATCGCTTTCAGGTCTCATTAACACCTGGCACGCCGAACATCGATGCCAATCCCTCCATCAATGTGCAATTCCAAATCTCTCAGCTTGCTGTGTCCGGTTTGAAGGTGAATCGATTGGACATGTACGGCGAGAAATACAAGCCCTTCAAGGGCGTCAAATACTTAACCAAAGCGGGCAAATTCCAGGTGCGCATGTAGCTGCATGCACCACATGCCACACACGCCACGCCCAGCCCACAGGCTCCCTCTACTCAGCTTTAATTAAGTGTAAAACAAATCGAAGTGAACTCGAATGTTCCACATATGTGCATAATTGTGCTGCTCTTTCTGTTTTATTTTATTTGCTATGCCATCATAACAGAAAAGAGAACAAGATCATGAATAAGAATAGGAAAAGTCCGCTTGTTCATTGTATTCATCCCAATTCGTGCTTATCTCTGTGCAAGCTCTATTTTATCATCTCTCTCTTTGTGTGTACTTGAGCAGCCCGAGCGTTGTGTCTGGAGGCGAACTATCATATACAGCTCATTAGAGGGTATATTAATGTTAAGAATAAGAAGCTAAAGTGCATTGTATTAAACATTTTTTTATATTATGTATATGCTCATAATATCATTCTTTTACAAATTAAGTTCTTGATAAGCCCTTTGTTTTTTTTTTTTTATTTTCTTTGCTTGCCTTATAAATAATAATAATATTTGACTATTATGTGTACACTCTATATATAAATTTATAGCAAGGGTCAATGAATAAAGATGTTCCGAGAAATTCATATATTTATATACATATGTATGTATATACTTTAAGATATTTCAACTGGACAATCAAAGGGTTAAATTTTCATAAATAAATATATACATGAATCTGATATCTGATGTATATATGTATATGTACTTAAGATATTCAAATCTTAAGTTAGAAGATAGAAAAAATGACATGTATATATTTATTTATATATTATATCTGATAGTCGGATTAGCTAATCTTTATAGGAGGTATCATGATTCAGATTTCTATATAACATATAACATTTCTATTAATGTTGAACTTGGGCGCATTCTCCATTATTTTCGAACAAGCACAGAAAAACTACATATTCAAGATAATAAATAAAATGTTTAATACTTTACAGGGTATCTGCCAATTGGTTACTTCATTCTCGATTGTTATCTACGGCTGCATTGGCTTTTATAAATGTCCAAGCGAATGCAGAAAGAAAAATGTTTTATGCTAACTTCAAGTATAGTTCTAGTTGTGTGTGTGTGTGTATGTGTGTGTGTGTGTTTGTGTGTGTGTGTGTGTGTTTGTTTAGTGTGGCGTCGCCATATTTGAAACTGGCTGTTGAACGTTGGCAAACAAGTTGCAAGCTGCCTGGCAACAAACCTCTCAAAGCCAGAGCCAAAACCAATAAATTTAAATAAAAATGCAAAACTTGATTTCTAATACCCTAGGTGGCTGGCCAAGCGGGTCTTATGTGAAGCCCGTAACACTGTACATTCTCTCAACTTGGCTCTATATATATAGCCTGCGCCTCACAATCTCACTGAACTCTCTCTCAACTTAATTAGACTCATAGGCTTAGTAAACCTTATTAACTCAATATTGGAATTTAAACTAATATCAACTTATACTAATATATATACAAATTCACCAATTTTTTTTATTTCAAAATATTGAACCTATCGCCAAATTGGTACTCCAAGAGGACCAAAGAAATATTAGTATATATTTTTTTGACCACAGGTGTATATATGTATATGTATATATATATATGTACATGAATATTTCTAGTGGTATATCTGACATATAGATATGTATATATATATTTATATAATGTCTCTTAATACTGATCTAACAGATGTACTATATTTATGTATGTATGTATGCCGTATACCATAAATCTTATATCAATACCCTAAATAAACTTCAGTTTAAAAAATTTTATAGATATACATATACACTTCATTTGTTGTATCTATAGATATATATAATATTTATAATTTTTAATATGTTTTCTATATACTTTATTATATATTTTATTAATTTTTTTTTTATTAATTTAAAAAGTATTTCTATATATTTCGATAAAACTAAAAGAAAATATATTTCAAGACATTTTTAATTTCAAATTCCAAATATGAAACATTTTTCTGATATATTAGATATTGGATAAATTACAGAGTATCTGCTCGTACACTACCCTCGAGACGGTAAAAACTTTTGTATATTTGCTTCCCTTTTTGAGTTGGCCCTTCCAAGCATTCGCATATACATAACACATAGTTATAAATACATACATACATACATATATAGACATTGCAAAGCTAACATATATATGTATGTACATGTACCCCTTATATTCTATATACTCAATATACCCTTGCATTTTTTCTGTTGACTGTGGCAACCGGTTCTGGGTTCAGCGTTTGAGCCCGGCCTCGGCTCGGCTCGGCTCTTGGGTCTCTGGCTGTTAGGCCCTGGATCTAGCCGGGGCGTGCAACAGTAGCCAAGTAGTGCCACCAGCGCGCAGCATACGCCTCTGACCATGCCTCCAGCTAGACATGTTATACACATCCAACTCATACACACATACATACATTGGCACATAGTTTGCTTAACTTGGCCGAAATTGCGAGCGTGGGAAACGGTTTTGGTTATGGTCAGAAAACGGCATGTGGCATGCCACATGCTGTGGCATAGCGCTGGCGCAGTTTGATGACTAACAGTTGAGACCCCGCTGCCGCTACCGCCCCCGCCCATCCATTCATTCCCTTCTCAAAGGGTCAAGTTTGTTGCATAAGTCTTTCGTTTTGGCTCACACGAAGTGATTGTTCGTTCTCCCCCATTTATTGTAGAATTCCATCAATTTTGTAACAACACCTCAGTTTTGCTCCGATAATTGATATCGGTTAATGCCAGTCGTCGTGGGAGCTGCCATTAATATTTATAAACGTATGGCTCCCAGGCATTTGCCGACACCCCCCTTCCATGCTTGCCCCCACCAACAGGCTCAAACGAGTGCCCAGATAATTGTGTGTGAACGAATACAAAGTGAAGAAACAAACAACTGTTTAATAGTCATTACTAAGTGGAAGAGAGGGAAAGAGAGAGACACAGAAAAAGAGATAGAGGGAG